TGCGCCGCTTGGGAAGCGCAGCGGCGCTCCCGCCCGAGGGTTCGGATCCCACATACAGACCGGTTCCCACTCACTGGCTGAGCGAGGCGCGGGAGCGACACTGAGGGTTGCAATCCCGTTGCCGGTCCCCGGTCCGGTACGGGGGCAACACTGAGGGTTGCGATCCGTTGCCGGACACGGAAAAAGACAAAAGACAAAAAAAAAAAATAATAATAATAAGGATGTACGAAAGCCCAACTTCCACTTGAGAATTCCACCAAAAACTGCTCTTCAGCAACAACCTGTAGATGCCAAACAGTTAAAGGACTACATCATATCTCCAGCATCCCTGAACCTGGAAATCAGTGATCACATGAGTGGCCCCCCTACACACACCATAAGAATTTGCAGGTAGGAAGCGGTTGTCTAGCCAGGGATTATACTTCCCAGCCCGACACACATATAGCATGAAAAGTGGTTCACACTAATGGAATGTGAGTAAAAGTAAAGTATATCACTTCTAAGACAAGGCTTTTTAGAAGCAGCTGTGCCTTTCTTCCCCTTTTGTCTCATTGGTTAGATACAGATAACAATAAAACCCTAAGAGGCTACAGACCCAAGACAGAAGAAACACTGATCCCTGAATTATTTCACAGAAAAGAACTGCCTATCCACTATGAACATTTGCTTCAGAGTGTTAAATGAATAAAAATAAATTGCTATTAGGTTAAGTCACTTAAAATTGGAGGATTGCTTATAAGTAGCTAGCATCACCCTCACTAATATATTACACATGTGTGTCTATTCATTTATCAATATAACTACATACACACGTATATATTCATTTAATCACCAAAATGTATTGGGAATCCACTTTATGCTAAATCCATGATATGCATCATGTGCAAAAACACATGCAATCCTTATCCTCATGAAGCTCAAAATTATTGAAGTATGTGTGTTTAAGTGCAGGTTTTTATGTGTAGGTTACTTGGATAGAGTGGAGTATACAATCAAATAATACAAATAAAGAAATAGAACTTTCACTTCCTATCAAGGTAGAGTTACAGGGATCAGATTTACCAGCCACCTTGACACAACTAAAAAACTGGAAAAAATATATGGAATGACAATTTTCAAGACACTGGACATTAAGCAGCAAAACACTGATTCCCAGAAATGAAAAACAAGTAAGGTGAGACCTAGATTTGCCCCCAGTTTATTATCTAAAGAGATGAAAGACCATTTATTTATTAAGATAATTATTAAACAATATTCCATATGTTCAAGAAACTAGAGGTGAAACTGAAAATACTAAGCAGAGCAAGCGATATAGAAAAGATTCAAGTCAAATTTCCAGAGATGAAAACTAAACATCTAGATTAAAAAGTCCCACTGTATGGGATTAACAGATTAGATATTGCAGAAGAAAAGAGTAGTGACATTGAAGACACAGCAATAGAAACCATCCACAATGAAACACAGAGAAGAAAAAAGATTTAAAAATAAATGAACAGACCACCAATGAGCTGTGGGACAATTTTAAGCAATCTAATGTACACGTAATAGGAGTCCACAAGGAGAGGAGAGATAAAAAAGAAATGTAAAACTTTTTGAAGAAATAATGGCTAAAATTTCCCAAATTTTATAAAAACTGACAACCTACAATTCAGGAAGCTCACCAAATCCCAAGCATGAAAAACCTGAAGAAAATTACACCAAGACAAATTATAATCAAATTGCTTACAGCCAGCGACAGAGGAATCTCATAAGCAGCTAGAGAAAAAGAAACCTCACATACAGATAAACAAAGGTAAGGGTAACAGCAGAATTCTTGGGAGAAACAATGCATGCTGGAAGACACTAGAGCAACACCTTTTTAGTACTAAAAGAAAAAAAACTATCATCCTAAAATTCTTTGCCCTGTGAAAGTATCTTTCGGAAAACAAAAGTGAAAAGAGAATTTTCAGATATACAAAAGCTAAAAGAATTTATCACCAGCAAACATACACAACAAAAATGTTAAAGGATATCCTTCAAGCAGAAGGAAAATAATACCAGTTGGAATCTGGATCCATGTGAAGGAATAAACAGCACCAGAAATGGTGGCTACATGGGTACCTATGTAAAGAAATATAAAGATTCTTTCTTATTATTTAAATCCCTTTAAGAAATAATCAATTGTTCAATGCAAAAATAATAACAATGTATTGTGAAGTTTAAAACACATAAAGAAGTAAAACATTTGGCAACCCACTGCACAAAGGCTGGGAGGGGAAAAATAGAAGTATACTTTTGTGAGATTCTTGCAATGTATGTGAGGTAGTATAATATCATTGAAAGGCAGATAGTGATAAATTAAAGATGTATACTATAAACCCTAAAGCAATCACTAAATTAATACAACAAAGATGCAAGGGTATTTCAACAAGTTCATGGAAAAACAGAATTAAAAGATAATATGAATGTTTCCATGAAGTTTTAGAAGACCCCTCATGTATAGCTAATAAGCCAAAGATGATGAGATGAAATCATAAAAATATGGAATTAATCCAAAAGAAGGCATAAAAGGAAACTGGAAAAAGGAACAGATGGAACAAATAGAAAACAAATAGTAAGATGGTAGATTTAAACCAAACCATATCAATATCACATTAAACTTAGATGGTCTAAACACAACAATTAAAGGGCAGAGATTATGGAAAGGATAAACAAGCAAGACCTAACTATATGCTGCCTACAAGATATTCAGAGGAAGACATACAGAGGTTAAAAGTAAAAGGATGGAAAAATGGCAATTATCTGGCTGCTCTTAAAAGAATAATCAGAATAAAAGAATGGCTGTTGACACAGTTTTGATTTACAAGTTGTTGTAATTCAGGAAATATTTTCATATTCTAGAGTCCTTTTCAAGCCTTGATATCTAAGCAAATATTAATACTATTTTGTACTCTTCATAATAAACTTCCACCATATGTATGTGTTCACATCATTATCATTTCAATTATCTCAACAGTACCTCTAAATACAATAAATTACAGATTTAGAAAGAAATTCCCAACTGAGCTAAGAAATTAGTAATTTGTTCTGATTAATAAGTAACCACAATGTCTTCCCAAAGATGAATACCTAGGCTCAACAGTTTTCCTCTGTATAGAAAAATACCACATGTACTCACTCATAAGTGGGAGCTGAGAGAGAAAGAAGGAAGGGAAGAAAGACCACAGTGGTGCATTGGACTTGCAGAGAGAGCATACCTAGAGATACAAAGTGGAGTGGGGGACAGGAGAACAGAGAGGGAGGTCAGGGATAACTGGGGGGGGAGACGCAGGGTATAATCACAATTTGTGGTAATGGGAATGCTGCCAGTATGGATCTGGCCATCATATCTTGGGTATGAGTGGTGACAATCAACTTTGTATCTCATGAATATTCATAACCAAGAAAAAATAAAAGAAAACCCATAGGCTATTGAAAAAGTGATATCACCTTACATTGAAAAATGCAGTCTATGACAGTACATATATGACTATATCAATTAGTCAAAACAAACAGGCAGATATTTTTGTTCTGTGCACTCATGTGTATTTATTATCTATTTTAATTAAAAGCTTCCCTTTATACTCCATGAATATTCATAACCTAAAAAAAAATAGTTTACCTCTATATAATCTGAGATTTCACTAAAATACTGTGTATTAAGACAACAGAGTCTGAGCCAGATAATAGACGCAAGATGCAACCAAATCTCACCATACTCCTTCCCTCTGGGAAAGATTTAAAAGGTATTGATTTTTCTTCCTGATGAAATGTATTTTAACAAAAAATATTTACATATCTTCATAGCTATTTAACTATTAGTCATTTGTTGAATATAATAAAGAGACATAAATACCAGGCATTGTACTGTATTATGCGAAGCATGGGGGATAAAAAATGAGTATTCATGCTCTTGAGACAAGTATAGTAAGAACAGGGTGGGAATATGTTTATGAAAAGTCATAGTATGCTAGAAATTAAACCCACAGAAAGTTTGCCCTACATTCTCAGTTCTCTAAATGTGAACTGGCATTTCACCTAGGTTGTCAAATTTATATATGTAGAGTTGTTCGTATTCTTCCCTTGTGCTTTTGATGTCTGTAGGGTCTGTAGTGATATCCCCTGTTTCACTCCTGCTGTTGATAATGTGTCTTCTGTCTGTCTTCCTTTGTCAATCTTGCCAGAAATTTGTTAATTTTATTGATCTTTTTAAAGGACCAGCATTTTGTTTCATTCATTTTCTCTATTTTTTCTGTTGTTAATTTCACTGATTTTTTGCTTTTGTCATTATGATTTTCTTCTTTCTATTTACTCTGGTTTTATTTTGCTCTTCTTTTTAAGGTTCTTAAAGTAGGAACACAGATTTTTCATGAGACTTTTCCTATTTTTTAATGTACGCATTCTGTGTTATAAATTTCCCTCTGAAATTTAACTACAGAAACAGAAGATATGGCCACAAATTTGGAAATATATAACAGAAATTTTAAAGACCAAATGGGAAACAGAATGATGTACCAAGAAAAAAAAATTATCCAAGGTAAAACACCAAAAATATTCAAACTCAGCTGAACAACAAAGGTGATGTTACTAAAGCAATTCCTAAAAACAAAATGACTTAAGACTGAATGACTTAAAATATATGACCATCAACTCAACCACATATGATAAGGAGGGAAAAACCCACATATGAAATAGAACCCACTACACTTGCATTACAGATAACACAAGACAGGGAGCAGGCAATGTAGGGGGCACAGAAGAGTTTCAGGATCTCATTTTTCCAGTTAGTACTCTCAGATGAGCTTCTTTACTACCAACCAATTTCAGGGATTCCTAAATGCTGCCCAACAGGAACAGAGGCTGAGCACATGTGAAGAATAAGTGCAGAATTATAACAATTTCCGTTATGAGTTACCCCAACCTATGGAGAAATACCAATTTCTAATGTAATATATGGAAGAATAAACATCTTTTTTTCTTACCCTCTGAGCTTTCGCAAGTTCTTCTTTTAATCTTTCATAGCCCTTTTCTCTAACTTCCAAAACAGATGGGCTTCGTAAACGGGAGAGACTATCGGTACTCAACCCAAAAATATCATCACTGCCATCACAAGCCTCTGTTATAGTAGCACCCTGTAAAAACTCCCTCTCTGCATTACAGTTGTCCTTTCTTGTAGTTAATTTAGTTAACCCAGTTGTGACTCCAGAGGTAGAACAAGGTGTTGGGTCTGTAACATGAATGCTGTAAAGCAGAGAAACATTTTTCAGAAAACATCATATGCTCAAATAGGACTGGAATAAAAACAAGCTCTGGAACTGCACTATCTAATTTGGTAGCCTCTATATTTAATTAATAGCATGTCCTCAGTCATATCCACATTTCAAGTACTCAAAAGACACATATGGCTAATGGCTATCACTTATATTAGATGGTAAGAAATAGAACATTTTTACCATCACAGAAAGTTCTACTGAACAGTGCTATTCAAGAAAACCACAGCCTGCAGGGGTCAGCAAATTACAGCCAAAATTTGGCAAGCCAAATTAAGCCTGCTACATGTTCTGTAAGGCCCTTGAGCCAAGGACGGTTTTTACATTTTCAAATAGTTAAAAAGAAATCAAAAGAATAATATGTTGTGGCAAGTGAAAATTACATGAGGGGAGGGGAGAAGTGGTAGACTAATGAGTACAAAACAATGCTATCTACCCTAAGTGAATCACTGTGCAGTATATGCATATATTGAAACAACACTGTACCTCACAAATATGTACAAATAAATGTTAAAAAATACACACATATCTACTGAAGTAACACCAAATCTAAAATTAAGATCAGTGTAGTAGTGTACACAAAGAATCGTAAGTGGTGTTCGTGTTATCTCCTTAGTTTGATAGATACTGGGCATTTCTTGGAATAATTTCAGATGTTACAGGTTTTTAACTAAAGAGGTGAAAGTAAAAAAAAAAAAGAAAGAAAGAAAATTACATGAAATTCAAAATTCTGTGTCCACATATAAAGTTTTATTCGAACACAGCCACACATTCATTTACATACCGTCTATGGCTGCTTGCACACGCTAAAGGCAGAGTTGAATAGTTGTGACAGAGACTGTATGATCTGCAAAGCCTAAAATATTTACTATGTGGCCCTTCAGATAGAAAGTTTGCCACCCCTGCTCTAGAACATCAACATGAATCACTCTACATGGGTAAGCTTATATTATTCAAATTTTCTAAAACAGTAAAACTTAAAACAAGGTAACTAAGCAAACTGTCCATTTTTTTTAAATGATAATCCAAAATAGGTGATGATCTCCTACCTGATATTAGATATTTCCGCACAATTTAAACGTCTGGGAGATGAATATACAGGTTGTGTAGGAAGGTCAGAAACATCTAATGCATTAGCCTGGATAGGGGCAGAGCATAAAGCTGAAGGATGTGGCCGGTAAATGACACCTGGTGAGGTAGTCTGCTCTTGAGTTCCTGATTCATACACACCAAGGAGGTCCGGAGAAGTAGGTGAAGCAAGGTTTACCTCATGGAAGCCTTCCAAGGGGTCATTAGCCATAGCAAAAGCCTCATCATAAGATAACCTATTTTAAACCAAAAAGCAGATAGTTATTTCTAGATAGTCACATTTTAAGCTAAACTAAGATGTACAAATTGTAAAATATGCTTAATAGTCCACTATAAAGTGTAAGCTTACAAAAAAAAGAGAAAGGAAAGGGGAAAAAATTACAATCATTTAACATTTATTCAGAGTATAAATACTACAAAAGGCAAACAATCTTATTTGGAAGAAACTTGAAAATGATAGCTAATGCTGTTAAAGTGAGTATACCTAATAAGTAAATATGAGAAATGAATAAAAATTTTCTTGATATTTTTAACTTTGCTATTATGCGACCTTGGTTAGAATCAGTAGAAAAGGCAGTGGATCTATATAGGTAGATAGATAGAGATATGTACAGATTTAGAAAGAGAATCGACCTAAGTTCAACCAACTGTTCTGTTTTGCCTCAATACTGGCTATGTGACTTTGGATGAGTCAGTGTTTTTATTTTCTTTTTTATTTTGAAATAATTTTAAATTTATATTAAGAATTGCGGAGCTCCTATCACCAAGATTATTAAATTGTTAACATTTTGAGCCATTTGAGAATAAGTTTCAGACATGATGCCCATTACCCCTTATTAATTACCCTGAGATTAACATGCACACACACACACACACACACACACACACGAGGGTGTTTCAAAAAGTTTGTGGAAAAACAGAATTAAAATACAAATCTTTCCATGAATTTTTTGAAGAACGCTTGCATGCACATGCACGTGCATGTATATCCATCCCACATACAAGGATATTCTCCTACCTAACCACAAAATCATCATCAAAATCTGGACATTAACACTGTTCAATATTACCACCTAATCAACAGGCCCCATTCAAATTTAATTGATTGTCTCAATAATGTCCTTTTTAGGTCCAAAATCCAATCTGGATAATGTGTTTCATTTCTCTAAGCCTTAAATTTCTCCCGACGGGATGAGAATGGGGATAAGAGTATTCTCTCCCTTGTCCGGGTTGCTGTAAAGATTAAAGGAGTCAATTCACTTAAGTACTTAGTACAGTACTATGTCACTGGCACAGAGTATGACCTCAATAAACATTTGTTATCATAGAAAGCCATTAAAAATAACACATATGCTTCAGTTTCTCCATAAGCAGAAAATACGAGAGTACTTCAAAAAGTTCACAGAAAAATAGAATTAAAAGATCATACAATCTTTCCATGAACTTTCTGAAGTAGGCTCGTATTTCATATAACTACTCAATTACATCACAAAGGTTATATGAAAACTGAAAAGTGTACCACTCAAGTTTTTTACTTGAAGAGTCTAAAGCTAAAAGAAATCGTACAAATCCTTTATGGATTTCCCACTGTCTACAGAATAATGTCCAAACACATTAGCATGAAAAAGGACTTCTACGATCTGAACCTAACCACACTTCCCAATATTTTCCATCCTACAATAGTACTTTGATAATCATGAATGATACCTTCCAAGAACACAAGCACCAATACAGCATGTAATTTCTTCTAAAATACAAAAATATTCATTCATTTGTTAAACTAACTAAAAAATTTAATTCTTGTATCCTTGATGAAAAATGTTAAAGATAAGACAAGTAGAGAACAAAAAGGTTGCAGTAAAGTTGGGAAAGAAAAGAGCTAACTTAATATTTACACATTCTCTTAAAATTACAGATTATTACATGTCACAGACCTTCCAGGATATCTATGGACAACCAAAACTGTAACCATTAAACCTACAAATGCCAAATTGCAAATGCAATAAATGTTTTCTTCATTAGGGCAACTAGTAATTTCAGATTTCAAAATGAAACTAATTCTTGTTTTTTCATACAAAATATTCATTATGACAAATGAAAGATCAGATTAAGAAGGAATTTAAAGTGTTTAATACTCCATTATAATTCATTATTTTCTCATCCAAAATAATTTTCACTCTTTAATCATAATACACAAACACCAAGAAAACATCTATATTCAAAGTGTATATCTCATTTTCACTTGAACAGAGTTTACTAATCAGTTCACTTCAAAGTAGAAAACATTTACATCAGGTTTTCACTAAACTTTTATATTTTGTCAGTAACTATAACACTTCCTTTCTTCTATCCCATATACTTCTAACTCATCTTCTACACCTTGAAGATTCACTGAATTATAGTATATAGAAGCATGTGCATTTCTGAAAATGCAAGATGGGAGAAAAATTTGGCAATATCTAGCAAAATGACATATTCATTAAACCTATGACTCAGCATGCTACTTTTAGGGTTTTTGTCCAAAGATAAACTGGCAAAATGAAAAATAAAAATACATGCATAAGGCTAGCAGCACTATTGTAAGCGGCAAAAAACTTATTTAATGAACTAGGGTACATCCTCATAGTGAAGCACTATACATCTGTAAAAAGAAATGGATAATATCTACATACTGATATGAAGTAACCTTGATGACACGCTAATAATTTTAAAAACAGGATACATACCATGCATAGTAAGCTGCTTTTTATCTAAGAAAGAAAAACATTAATACAAATTTATTTATACATATATAACATATATACATATTTATATGTATATATATACTTATATTTTAGAAATAGAAAATAAACCAAAACTAATGAATTGTTACCTATAGGAAGAGGGACAGAATGGGCAGAGTGAACAGACATGAAAGCTAGACTTTTCTGAATGTACTTTGCTTTATAGACTTGAATATGAGCTTGGAACTATGTAAGTGATAAAACAAAATTAAATTTTAAAAAAATCCTTAAAAATAAATAATCTGTGTATTGAGATGGTAGCTTAACAACATGGAAAAAGAACTACTTCAACTGATTTTAAAACATCGTAATATAAATGTGTATCTCTAATGGAATTTAGTCTAAGGACAAAAGGAAGTGAAAAAATTATAAACTATTTTCAGTGACTATATTAGCAGTAAAACATAGAGCATGTAAGTTTTGTTAATATCATTTGGAACCAACATATTCAGCATATGAGAAACAAATACAAATATACAATCAAAGAAGTTAAAATCCCAGAGCACTAAATTTGAATCAGAAATACTAGAGAAAAAATTTCCTTTTAGAAAATAACTCCTGGGCCAGCCCCGTGGCTCACTCGGAAAGTGTGGCGCTGGTAGCGCTGCAGCCACGGGTTCAGATCCTATATAGGGATGGCCAGTGCGCTCACTGGCTGAGCGTGGTGCGGACCACACCATGCCGAGGGTTGTGATCCCGTTACCAGTCAAAAAAAAAAAAAAAACTCCTAACTCTATCCAATTAAAAGGTGTAGCATGACTGACCAACTCAGGAGCAATGAGTACTCATGTGCTCGGAGTAATACCATTTCCTACAAAAAAGAACAAGGGCTCCTTAGAAAAATGGCTGATTCTAGGTCTGGGGCAGAAATGTACAAAAGGACCCTAGAACATCTAGTTATACCAGGAAGGAAGAAAGCTATCAAAGACTACTGGAGTGATATCAAAAGGACTCCCACTATCCAAGTTTGGGACAATCTGAACATCAAAAAAAATAGTATCTGCGAAGAACTGAAGCCCAAATATTTTTAAATCCATGAGCTTATAATGATACTAAAAATAAACAAACAAGCAAAACCTCACTAGTCTACCCCTTTGACCAGTGCTATGGAATCTACTCATTATTTTCCAAACTAGTAAATAAAAGGAAAGAATGGAGTATTTATCCTGACCTTGTTGTATGTCAGGGAACTGCACAGTTCATGAGAAAAAAGTTTCTTAAATTTTAAAAGATTCTACGAAATATAATTTTGCAAGCCTAATAAAATAACGGGTCTAGGCAAAAATTATCAATAGTTATTATAACAGAAAAAGCAGTTTGAGGAACTTTATAGTTAATTAATCAGAATGACAATACCTGAACTCACTGACCACATCTTATCACAAAAAGGGAGACAAACAGACACTACATGTGTATTATGCGGTAAATAACAAATGAACACTACCACCATTCACAAAGCATTCTTGGCCCCCTAAGGAAAACAAAAAAAAGGACTCCAAACCAATCAAGTCTTTAGGTCTTCATTAGTTTACAGTAAATAAAGAGGAAAGAGGAACATGTCAAATAACACCACAGGGAAAAAAAAGCAAAATCCAGACTTTTGGAAACCCTAGTGGACATACCACCAGGTTTTTTTTCAATAGATAAACTGGAAAAAAAAAAAGAGAGGGAATTTATAGATTTAAAAAGAGACTTAAGAGATGCAACTAAATATACAGTGTGGACTTTGTTTGGATTCTTATCTGAATAAAGCAACTGTAAAAACAAACGATGTTACTAGGAGTTATTCTTAATTTTAGTAGTAATAATGGTATGGTTATGTAAAAAAAAAATCCTTATTTCTTAAAGTTACACACTGAAGTATTTATAGATGAAATAAGATTACCTGGATTTGCCTCTAAACAATCCTGGGAAAGAGGGTGGGAATGAAAGGCTGAGCCATCCAACTACCAGTCCCAATCACAGGATGAAAAGGTGGCTTCTCCCAGAATAACACCTAATATTTATTGAGCATTTACTAAATATTAGGTATACTTCCAGTATATTTATAGTTGAGGAATCTGCAGCTTATGGCAGCCAGAATTAAAACCTATATCTGTTGAACTCCAGAGTCCAAGCTCTTAACCACCACAATGTACTACAGCCACCAGAATTGCTTTTCTCATTCCATTGTTAGACCATTCTAGAAAAATGTTTCTCCATGTCTTGAATTAAAATCCATCATCCCTGCAATACTGACCCTATTTTTCCTATAAATAAACACAACATTTCAGCTATTCTCTCAACAAGTATTTACTGAGGACTTACTATGTGCCAGGGAAAGAAGATGAAAAAAATCTATGTCCTCAAATAGCTTCAATACAGTAGGAGAGACTGACATGCAGAGGGAGGCAATAATACAGTGTGGTAAATCCCACAGAAGACACAAATGGTACTAAGAGTTCACACAGGAG